TTTACCATCTTTAGTCCAAAAATTTAAATTATAATGTCTAAATAAAAGGGAGACAAATATAAATAAGAACAGCTTCTGGGGTCTTATATATATATTTAAAAATAGGAAAAAATTGTCTAAGACCCGGTTGGAGGTCGACCCTCACCGAACTGATAATTCGATGTGACAAAATTTCGTATCAAATATAATTTATAAACAAATATGCCTATGATGACTTGCCTATCGAAAAGTGTTCATAGCTATTTTTAATTTAATTAATTTTAATAAATTTTCTTTCATCACCTTCACTCTTTTGATAACCGAATGAGTTTTATCTCAATTAATTAAAAAAAACATAGACTAAGAGATATGCTCTAAGTACAAAAAAGTCATAACATAATTATAAATCTATATTTCAATTAATTTTTGCATGCTGGAAACGGCTAATTGTGCGATCTGACCTAATTTATTTATTTATTTATTTATTTATGGACCATCAACACAGCTATATTAATACAAACAAACTTACACATATGCTTACGTATTAGGATATAATATAACTGTACTTAAAGATGGCCTCATCATGCGCTAAACAGTAAACAGTTTTTCTTTTTACATATTCTACATACGGAATTTACTACACAACACAAATATTTGCCCAATCACAGAACAATCACGACAGTCTATCATGCTCTATAATTATTTAAAAGGAGAGAACACTGCCTAATATGGTCGTAAGTTCAGAGAACCCCTTACGTACCAGACCCATTATTGGCAAACTAATTTTATTAACAATAATATTAAACAGTTAAGTATCTACTTTCCCAGTATTCTAAATATTTTATTTTTTAAAGTTGGTATTTTATCATGAAAAATATCAATAGTATGATCCTTCTTCACAAGCTCACCAATTAATCTACTTAACCTAGGGATGAGTGAATGGTGACCCAAATTGCTACGGTACGTTTTGTGTGTCAAGAGTGATGCCGGATAACGTGGCAACCGCGATGGTATCCTAAAGCGAAACTTACTGAGGAGCATAGGATCATCAAATATACCATTCAAAATCTTACACAAGAAAGTTATATCAAGTGTCGAACGACGATCAGCCAGCGTCACCATATTGAGAGTATTTAGGCGTTCCCTGTACGGAGCCGTTCTATATCTACCATGCAGAATTAGACGCGTAAATCTTCTTTGGATTGCCTCTATACGATCTTTGTGGATTTGATAATTTGGGCTCCAGATCATAGAACAATACTCAAGTTTGCTTCTAATAACTCTGATTTCGATCACAATGTTTGTATTATTTCACACTATATATACTTACAGCTATGAAATAATGAAAAATAAATAATTTAATATATTAATAAGTAAAAAATTAAAAAATCAACAATTTTTTTTATTCTAAAGCTAAATTATCAATTTAAAAATTATAAAAACATCTCGATTCTTTATTTTAAATTAATTAAAAATAATAATAATAATAGAAAAGGCAGTACTCTTGGACACAGCGCGCTTCGTCAGGCGGTTTCTTGTATTTTACTTTTATATCTATTTTATAAAAAACCTAACTGTAAAATAAAATAAATGAGAGAATAATAATAGAAATAATCGAGGGATTTTACTATTTGTACTTAATTGGAGCCTCAATACCACAAACTTTATTAAAAAAATGCTGACACGATACTAATAAAAATTTGTTCCATGAAAACCGCACATGTGCATTTAGTTTTTGATCGTTATATATCGCCATCAATAAAAGATACAGAACGTCAAAATCGTCAAGAGATTGACGTTCCATTTAATATTTCTGGACCTCAACAAAACAGGCCTTCAGATTTTTTACACAGTTTAAAAAATTAGCGATTCAAAATTACATAAATGAAATGAAAAGTCATGTATTCAGTCTAGGCTGTCACAAGCACTTGTGAAGGTCAAGAAGCTACGCCATCGGTTCGCAAAACTACGGCGGGAGACCTTGTACTGAGTAGAACCGGCAAGAAACTCAGCAAGGGCTGGTTTTTTCTCCCTGTATTGTTATATACAGAGTCGTCAAGTTGAAAAATTACTTCAGAGATATGTCTCAAGTAACCTTCCATTACATAATTCATTATTTATCATCAGATCAAAGAAGCCTTGGTTCAGTTTTTATGTCTATTGGGAAAACGATAATTTAGTTACAATTATTCATCATCATCATCGTCAGCCTATTAATGTCCCCACAATTAATACAATTAAAAAAAATGTGACTTGTTCTGAATCGTTGTTACTCCTATGAAGGGCATCGAAATCGAATGAAAAAAAAACGAAGAAGTTGCATATATGTGTGATCATGAAGAGCCGGGACACTAGGATAATTTTTCATGCATTCAGAGTAACACCAGGAACAAAGATTTTAATTAAACCTTCGATTCCGAAAAGTTATTCCGCAAAAGAAGATAATGAGCACGGTTTGGAAAAAGTTAAAAGTTATGATTCCAACAATTTGCCACCATGCAAATTATTATTTAACCCAAAAAAAATTACGAACGATTTATGTCAATTATATGCGGCTTCATGCGACTGATCAAGATTGCTTAAAATTGCACCCTGAATACTGTGGTTAGCCCTTAGGCGATGATCATTTAAAACCAATTGGATTTATTGGGGACCAAACACCCTTAAAAATTTATGACATCGCACAAATCATGGATAATGGAGGTGAACAAAATTTATTACAATGTGATTTTCAGTATTTAGTTTCCGATCCGTTTCCGATGATGAATAATAAAAAATTAATAAATATTTAATTTTTTATTTATTTATTTTGCATGCTCTGTAATTAATTTTAAATTAAGAATCAAAATTTATTATAACTTTAATAATTTAGTTTTAGAATGAAGAAATATACCTTTTATTTATACTATATTAAAATATTTCTTTTTGATTATTCCAAAGCTGTAAGTATATATAGTGTGAAATAATACAAACATTGTGATCGAAATCAGAGTTATTATAAATAAGAGTTCTCAGGCTTCTAACAGAATATCTAAAATCTAAAACTTTATATCTTGGCAATAATAATTTGTGCACGATTTTACGCAGGCAAGCCAATATGATTGGTTTTGTAATTAAAATATCTTACCTATGATATTAATTTCGATAAGTTAACAGATCGGTGTAGTTACCTATATTGACTTACCTATTCATATCTGCTTGCCAGGTAGCCATGCACAGAAATAAGTAAGCAAGCCTACCTTGGCACATTCTGTGTGTTAAAAACTATCAGTTGAGATAAAACTCATTCGGTTATCTAAAGAGTGAAGGTGATGAAAGAAAATTGATTAAAATTAATTAAATTATAAATAGCTATGAACTCTTTTCGATAGGCAAGTCATCTTAGGCATATTTGTTTATAAATTGTATTTGATACTAAATATATCTCATCGAGTTATCAGATCGGTGAAGGTGGTTCTTATACGGTCTCCCCTACCATTGGTACCGTGGCAAAGATTTAACACACTGCACCGTTTAGATTGATACTGGAATGGCGAAAATGGTGTTCTATTAGTATATGTGTTATGGGCCAAGTGATTAATGCGGGCAGTATGAATAATGCCCAGCCATATCGGACAAAGTGATTAATTACAATCTAAACTCACCTATTTATCACATTGCCCGGTCATTATTAATAATGCCGGACAGTTTGTGGTCCATGTATTGAGACATCCAATAAGTCAGTGATTGAGATAGCTTGAATTTATCGCTTGGACCGGGCAGTATAATTAAATTCAAAAAGTTGGTACTATTGTCAAAATGACAGATGTCTCGCCATTTTGTGTTTGTTTTGAGATCTTGGTAAATAAAAAATAGTATGGGCTCAACACTTAGAAAAAAAGGTAAATGTGGTTTTACAATAAACAGTCTTTAATTCAGAACCAGCTTGGTTAACCCTGACACGCCGTGGTCTTGGTCTGCCCTACCCCTAGAGTGTTTTTTAGAGCCCGGAAGCGCGGAGGGAGAGCAGCCCCCGCCTGCTGTGACAAAGCCGTAAGAATCACGCGACCCGTAGCGCCTGAGGCTATTCGCCGCCGGAGGTGGCGACCAACAAGCCGAAGGTGTGAAGGGAAGTGATGCTTGTGACTTTGTCACGCAAAGGCGGAGAGGCTGCTATTCCTGCAGCGCCGGAGATAAGGCAGAAGTACTAGTTCTTATTATCCCTATTTTTATCCCTTATTTATATCCCTATTTTTTAGGATGCAAGGACTAGGGAAGTCCTTGCATCCTAAAAAATAGGGAACCATAAATTCTGAACATTTAACAGATTTTTAATGAATTTTTCAAACAAACTGTATTGAAACTACTATATACTATAGTTTCTACATGTAGCCCTTCGTCAATTGATCGAAGTAAAACCGAAGTCTGATTATTTAAATTTTAAAAATAAATACTAAACTATAAAGCATGTTTTTATTATTATTCTACCCGATAATTGATTTCATTACTTGTAATGCTCGGTCTATCTAAGTATTCATTTGAAAGTATTTAACATGCTTTACATCACTCTGCCCAATAGGCACTTGACTATTCATAATGCCCGGGCAATGTGATAAATTGATTGGTTATGATTATAACCAATCAATGTGATTACATTGCCCGCTATTTTTGGGCATTATTCATATTGACCAGGCATTATGAATAATGCTCGACTCATCACTTAGCCCATAACATATGCACTCTTGTAAGATTTTCTTCGTTATGCCAGCCATACACACTACGAGAAATCGTTACGATCAGACTGTACAGTTCGAACGAAACAGTTTTCGTACGCGGCGTACGTATAGAAAACTGTGCAGTTTTACAACATACACGCTACGATTTATCGGTACCGTTCGAACTGTACAGTCTGATCGTAACGATTTCTCGTAGTGTGTATGGCCGGTATTACGGAATTTCCTGATTCGGTCGGCGCGCTCAAAGATAAAAGCTATACAATAGCTTAAAAAATATCAAGACGAAGTTTTTCCACCCTCCTATAGCAAGATCCGATGTCGCATCGCATAATCGAGAAACGCCGCAGAGATCGCATGAACAACTGCCTAGCGGACCTCTCCCGGCTCATTCCACCCGAGTACCTGAAGAAAGGCAGGGGCAGGGTCGAAAAGACGGAAATCATCGAGATGGCGATCAAACACCTCAAGTTCCTGCAGGACCGAGCTAATGGTGTGTACCACGGAAACGATTTGCCTAAGGGTATGTAAAGTTTTACGGTATGATGCAGTCAAGTCAACAGAGCACATGAAACTCTTAACACAATCTAAAAGTAAATGTCCAAAAGAAATATCGCTCTGTAGGTACAAACTGAATACAAATTCTCTTCGACAGTCAGAATTGAGCTACGTGCTTGCGTCACGAAGAGTACATTCCTCAGGTTATTCGAAACTGTCTCCACAATTGATTTTTAAGTTCAACCTCATGGATAAATTGCTGGTCTCCCTGCGGTCGTCCAAAGGGACACCAGTCATTTATCTAAGTTCAACCTCTTTGTTGACTCTAAATAAATTTAGGAAATTCAACACTTAGCTAACCTTTTGTAATGCGTTGATTGTATGTAGGAACGGGTGCAGGTGACACTATTGTAAATTAAAATCATTGGAATCATATAAGGACCGTAGGTCCTTTCTTAGGGCCTTTCGTATTCACTGAGATAGAACACGGGAACAGAAGTCAGACATTAATGAGCATTTCGATAACTCATGGTACAATAAATTATAAAATAGCTTACGTTTTATGCATATAGACTGCATTCGATCTGCAAACCAGATGAATGCAGTTTGGCTACTACATATATAAAAAACGCCGCAATTGCCTTTTATCTTTACAAAGTGATTCAAAACCGGTAGATATTGGAAGCTCGTAGATATGCTTTACATTACCTATCTTGAGACGACATCTGTCCTTATAAACCAGGGTCGATAATTTTAAAAATGGTAAAAAGTGAAAAAAAAATATAGTAGGATGAAACCCATTGGAAAAGGTAGAGAATATAACAAAATAAATTACGGGCGATCTGAGGTCGGGAAAGGGGAGGGGGTGAGTTTTTAAGGGTAAAAAACGGTTAATCTCGAGTTTTTTTGTTTATCAATATAACATGATATCTAACGTTTTTCGAGTAATTACAACGTAAATTTTAATAAATAGCTCAAAATTATACATAACGATTCAAAAAAAAAATTCGGATTCGGAGTTTTTTTCATTATTAATTTGCAGTTTCTGAGAACATTTACCATAGTAGTGTATATATTTTTTTATACCATCACAAGGTAGAGATTTCAACAAACAAAAAACACACCAACTTTTTTAAAAAAACAGATATTTTGACTTGAGAATTTTCGATTGAAAATTAGGGTGCTTTTTCGATATTAAGTCAAAATAAGGTGAAAAAATGAATATTTTAAATCAAAAAAAAAACTGTATGTTTGGGACATACAAAGGTAAGTTTTCACTAAATACGTGAAAAATATTTTTTTTGCATAAAATAAAAAACCAAAAACTCGGTTATTCGACTTTTTCACATAAATTTTGAGGTTGTGTGAAAAAAGTGTCGATACAAAAGTTGTAGATCTTTTTATTAACTACAACTTTGCCATTTAACTTTTTTTCATAGGACTTGCAGTTTTACCGGAAATCAAGATTAACCGTTTTTTACCCTTAAAAACTCGAGGGGGTGAGTTTTTTTCCCCCCTTCCCGACCTCAGATCGATCGTAATTTATGTTTCCTTACATTTTTGTAATATTCTCTACCTTTTCCAATGGGTTTTATCCTACTATAATTTTTTTTGGTCTCAAAAATTATCGAACCCTGGTCTATTCCTAAATCTTAAATTCGTCGAAAGACTGCATGTGAAATAGAATTAGAGATTAAAGGAACTTACCTGAAGTGAAATTCTATCCTAATTATACGAAGGCTTCGTCCGAAGAGATTAGTTTGATTGACACAGTTTGTTAATCAAGCTAATCTCTTCATTTCGTGTAGAACGGGTAGCACATGCCATTTCACACTATATTGAGAATATAACTAAAAAAAAAAAATTACTAGATTAGTCTTTTCTTTAAATTTGGAATGTAGGTAAGCCCTAGCGCCCGTCATAGCTGTCATTTAGTTAAGAGTATAAATTATACATATTTTTCGAATAATATAGAAGTAATAATAACTTTTTTTTGGGGTACGGGCTATTCTCTTCGAACAAAGCCTTCGTTTAATTAGGAAAGAAGATAAATCTCTAATAATACTTACTTGACTTCGAAAAATATGAATAATTGTGATAGGTTACTGAATAATAAGGATAAATTTAACATAATTTGCTTCTTTATTTTTGTAACATAGAAACAAAAGGTAAACAAAAGGTAAAATTAAAAATTATATGCCACATAAAAAATCAACATCGTTTGTGAAATAAACGAAAAAATCATTTGATTAGCACTCAAAACAGTGGTTCCAAATTTTTTACCACAATTGTTTTGTTACTGGCCTGTTATAAAAGTTAGCAAACGTATGTGATTTTGAACTCCAACCTGCAGTTTTCATATTCTGATGTATGCTAACACCTAAATTTTGCGCAGCTGACGTAGCAGCATGCCGGGTACTATGCGCAGTGAACATTGAAATATCAATTCCGCTTAAATGTAACGTATTTTTTATCCATCTGGATAAGGTTTGAGAAGTAGCAGACTTATATGACTTTCGGTAACTAATGAAAATAATTTGTCTGAATCAGCATGACGAGACAGTCATTTCAATGTAAGTAATCAACACTCTTGCAGAACAAATACTTGACTTTTCGTTATAGAAACGAGCAATGGTGTCTTTATGAGATCCGGACTTTCGATTTTAATTGCTGAAGAAGACTTATCAATATTACATTTTTGAAGTTATACTTCTTAAGGCGCGTTATGAAAAAATGATGAGAGTGAAATTTTAAGATGCGCGCGCATCACTGTAACACAAAATTTTCAACCAACTTCATGCTGTTACTTTTGTATTTACCGCACATTAAGAAAATCTACCAACAAAATAGAAATAGAATCTCTATTTAGTGGGTGCTAACGACTGCATTGTGAAGGCCTATCAAAAGTATTTATTAATCTGGAACAACGGAACCAAAGCGCGATTCAGGAAACTACAGCGCCATCTCTTGACCATTGGTGTAGTAGAACCAAAAACCACATATTTATTTTTTGTAATAAAGTAACAGTTATAGGTATTCATATTTATAATATTTATCCACATGTTTCTAGTTTGTATATTCGCATTACGTGTTTGAGTTTCATACAAGTGCAAATCATATATGTTCTAATAAATTATATTCAGTAGCGATTTTAATTGAATATTTTGATTATTTATTTATTTTTTCAAATTAAAACTGAACTTTAATGACTGTGTCCTTTTCCGGACTTTTAATTAATTTATTGTAATTAATTATTTGCATGCAATTAAAAACTAATTTTAAACGATGCCAAAGAAGGATAACTTCTCACGCGCCTACATAAGTACACGCACCCATTTATTTTTATTTTAGATAGGGTTTGTACCCTATGGTCTGTGACAATGGCTAATATTGTTATATTTTTTTTAGATATTGTTTAAAGATTCAAACTTTTATTGGGAAACTATTTTCAAAGCAACTTACAACCTGTGCTATATTCCAGACTTCATGATGTTTAAGAAGTAGAGGTCTGGTACGGAAACACTGCTTTAATAAACCTTTTTATTTCTTGGTTTTGTAAGATATTATTTTTAGTGATCAACGCTAAAGCGGAATGATAACAGTTAATGGTACCGTACTGAGCGCCACTGTTAAAAATTGATGTTAAAAATGTTGTATGACAGGAATTGATACTTCGTATAAGTTTAACTTATTCTGTTGACAATAAATAAACCAATTTTTATTGCATCTTCTTTTTGTTCCTTCGTACTGTTTATATGACTTATCCGTAAGGGAGTTAAGCATGATATCCACAGTAGATTGTGGGACGCCTCTTCGTATTATCACCTCCCGGATAAGACCCCTGCCACCAGGGTAATGGAGTTGCGCATTTGTTCGCGGCTGGAATTTGTAGATAAAATAAGATTTGAATCTGCTTTGAAAACTAATTACCCACTCATTAAAAGACTCTTAAAAAGCAGATACTAAAATTGTGTAGGCCAAAATGGAACAACTATAATACCTTACCATTGTGAGAGATATTTTTTCTTAAATATTTCGGAATCATTGTGAAATGAGGAAAAGCATAAAACTTTAATTTCGACCACGACCCTGTAAAATTGTTTACGGCGTATGCATCCGGATCCCTTTGCCATGATATATATCTTGGGCATTTATTATTTAAATTATTAGCAAATACTTCAATGTCTGGGTCATAAATTTTTTCAACGATTTGTTCAAAGGCAAAATCCGCTAGCTGCCTTTCGATATCCGGCTGATTTTTCTCGATTCTTGATCTGCATGGTAATTATCTGAAGATTGAATAAAAGTTTCAAATACGTAAAGATTTTTACGATCACACCATTACCAGAGATCTTTTGTGATCTCTGAAAGTGTGGGAACTGTATGCCACCCATACGGTTTATGTAGTAAATTGCCGTGGTATTGTCGATTCGGAGAAGTATTTGACAGTTATACATATTTTTGGAAAATATCTTTAAATTAATAAACGTAGCAAGAATTTCTAAATAATTTATATGCCTGCGCTACTTTAATTTTCACTCCATAAACCAGCTTTGTCGTCTCTACATGCAATTCTCAACCCCGTATTTGAGGCACCTGAAATAAATTCTGGGTCATACTTGTCTATTTCTATGTTTGCAGCAAGATTTTTATCCATGGTGCGGCTCCACCGACAAAAATATCCAGTTGCAAATAACAAGGTATATCCATATTTTTGTGGTAATTATCACTGATATTTAGATTAATATATTTACATCTTTCAAATAATTTGGTTCTCTGATTCTACACTTTTTAAGTTGGAAAACTTTTGTGTTGCAGATTTCAAGTTTTGCATTTTTTTTCTGGCAGAGTGACCTCAAAATTTCATTGAGTCTATAATGTATCCTAAGAACTTACAAGACTGAGAAGGTATAAAATTACTGTTATTGCTATTTATAATGAAACTCAAGCTTGTAAGCAACCTTAAAGTATCTTGTGAGTTTTTAAGTTTTTAAGTTTCATCTAATCCTATTAAACAGATGTCATCTAAATATATTGTGGACAGGTAACCACATGATCTTAGCACTTTTATGACCGGTTTCATGACTTTAGTGAAAAAAAGGAGCTATATTCAAGCCAAATGGTAAGACATGAAATTCACATGTTTTTTGATCAAATTGGTATCTTCAGATATTTTCGGTCTTCCTCATACATTTTTAACAAATAAATATGCGTCTTTCAAATCAACTGTGCACATGTTACAATCCCTCAATATTTGTACAGTACAGTTTAAAATGATTTGCACCAATAAATTTATTAAGCGACTTTAAGTTTAATATGAAGCACATTTTACCATTTGGCTTAGGTATTAAAAAAAATGTTGATAGATATGAATCAGGTTTTATCAAACTCCGAAGCCTTTCCTTCGAGAAGAGCCTTTTCTTTTCAGTACTTTTTCGGATTGATGGCGATACAGGTTGCGTCGGTGTTCGACTGAAGGGAATCCTATATCCTTTTATATAAGAAAGGACCAGTGGGTCCTTGGTATTCATTGACCATTTTTTATAGAATAATGATAAGCGACCTACCCATGCATTACCGTATTTAACGACGATTGTTGTTCTGTCTCTGCTGCGGATACTGGGAATGCTTCGATGAGTTGATGGGCCGTCTGCGCGTCGAAGTCGTTGCAGGCTCCTTCGTCCTCGGAGTACCCGTGCAGTTTAAATTCCGCGAAGAGCTGACTGGATTTGAGCTTAGCTTTTTATTAGAAAACCTCGGTGTCGTTGATTGCTTGAGGTCGGTACCAGACTTTAATAGTTTACGTTAATATCTTTAGCTTTATGGTTTCCGTTAAGTTTTCGCCGAATAATATTCAATTTTAGTATTTTGAAGAAACTCCCTTAGATCTTTCTTAACGGCATTTAGAAGAAAATTTCTTCGTTTTATTGCATCAGAATGTTGACAATCACACATAATTTTTGCCAAATCAATTAGTGTTTTAGCAAGGCAGTATTTTTCTCATTTGCAGACAGTATAGCTGTAATAGCTTCTCGCAGACAAGTGAATTCAGCAGTCAATTCCTTCTGTTTCAATTGAATGGCCTCATCGCGTTTTGTAATAATATCTGAAACAGCTGCTTTTATCTCAGGGTCAATCATCTAGCAATTTTCTTGAGTCATATACATTTCTATAAGTTCTTTACGCAATTCTTTGCTAATTCCTGTTGTGACCCAGTGTTGGAGTCTAGTTGAAAAATTGCTATTTATCTCTTTTTATCATTCCTTTTCTCTGAAGTAGGGTCAGTGCCTAATATTTAACTGTCTGATTGTATGTTTTATGTTTCTGAGACAGACGTTTGATCTGAAGGTAGATAACGCCTCGGAGCCTTAGTCGACCAATGACCATCATGTGTTACCGTATTGTTTTCAGCCCGACATCTACATTGGATTGGTTCCAAAAGTGGCCACAGCACTTGTTCTTATTTATCCTGCAGGTTGACCCTCGGAACACGGTGCGTCGAGGTCAACTATGACCTCTTGGTCGTCTGTAAAAGACAGAACAATCCTTATGTTCATACCATTTTGCATGTCAATATTATGTTGTAAGAGACAGTCCCCAGTTGTAATAACACGTACTGTCCGCAAACAACACTTAGTAGTACCTTATAACAGTCCCGTTGTACTGTCTGTAGGACCCAGTGACTGCAGTGTATATAATGATTGTTATCATTATTTAAGGTAATGTAATTTTAACCTCACTTATGCGATTTAATTTTTGTAATAGACAGTCCCAGTTCGATGAAAAGCATTGTCCGCAAACTATTGAAAATCGCATAATATTTAAAAGTAACTGTTTTTATTGTAGTAATGTTTTATTGTACTTGTAAATATTATTTTCAGTAAGAAACAGTCCCAATTCAAAGAGAGTACTGCCCGCAAACTGTTAAAATATATATACGAAAAACTTGTAAAAGTCTGTGACGAATTAATTAAATGAAATTATGTTGAAATAAAACTTAAAAATTAATTTTGTTATCCAAGAAGTATTTATTTTATGAAGTGAGTAGTAAAAACGGTAAACATACTTTGAATACTTTGCGAACTTTTTGTTATCTAAGTTGGGAACCGATAGAAAAAGTAGGTCACAGAACTTCAATACAATATAATTATGTCAAGGTTAGCGACTTGTAAATGCATAAAAATACTTAACTTACAAACCTTTAGGTACTGATGACAATATAAAAGATCCGATAGCTCAGAAAAAGATGAATTATATCGACTGCGGTGGTGCTTCTTTCTACACTCCAATTTCCTCTCCAATCTTCTAATCTTCCGTTTTAAGTAATCAGTTATAACACAATTGAAATAAGTAGATGCGAAACGACGACGCACTATAAAGCGATTGATAGCTATGACGGGTGCTAGGGTTTACCCACACTCGAAATTTAAAGAAAAGAAAAAACTAATAGTTATATAGTAAAATTTTATTCTTTTTAGTTTATATATTCTTAATATAGTGTGTAATGGCGTGTGCTACGCATGCTACATGTGTTAATCAAGATAATCTCGAGCACGAAGCATGAACTTTAATTCCTGTGACACGTCATATGAGATGCAGTGCAGATCAGAGACTTGCTATGAAGGCTACTTTTGCCTCGCCGTACGACTACATATCGTACGTATGCAGTCCTGGTGTAGTCCATTTGTATGCAGCCTATTGTGGCATTGTCATTATCGTGTAAGGTCTTCATCTTTGACTTAAATCGTTTCCTTACGATCTAGGACATATATGTTTTTGACCTATGAAAAAAATTATGTCTAAGTTACAAACTACTACTCATCACTTAGTTTTCTTCAGACTTTCAAATGTTTTAAGATTTATGTCAGAATACAGTCAGAATACCAAAAATGGTTCTTCAGACTGTTATTTTTAATGAAAGTATTTTCTGTACATAATCTCAGAATAATTTAAAGTTTTTCAAAAAACCCACCAGATTAACTGTGAGAGCATACTTACATTAAACGCGATGAACGCGTGCCTGATCGTAAAATAAAACTTTTATTTCTAGAGATATAAGTGCAAAATTACCTTGTTGTTTGGATTCCATTAAATTCCTATGTCCCATCTAATATTATTATTGAACCGATTTCTTTATTAGTATTCTTTATAAGTTACCAAAGAAAAAAGAAGTGGTAAAACTTTAAACCACTGTTCGAATCAACTGTAAGACAATGCGAAAATTAAACATCGAAAATCTATTTAATAGATTCTCTTCGAATTTGTTAATGGTTCATGCTAGGGGTACTGTTATCTTTCTCATAATTTAATTCTTAAATATATTATACAATTATTTTCTATTGTCTCGTGAATCCATAATACATAATTTGAAAAACTCACTGTTACATCTGTTATTGTGTTCAAATAATAAAATATGTATATTATTATTATTTCCAAATTTCCATTTGAGCGCTATTTCACTCCTTGGCAATACGTTTGTAAGTTTTACGCATATTCTAGTTGTCTCTCATATCCAATGGTCATTTTCCAAATTCTTTTTTGAAGTTTTGCTTTTTGTTATGAATGTAACCTAATTCTTCTATTTATAAAACTACTCAGTTTTATTCAATTTATTTGGCGAATTACTTACTGTCGTCTAAAAGTATTCTTATCCGATCTTATTTAATTTGCAAATATTCTTTATCTTGGGTTGTCTCTTCAGTTGAGTTGGTTTTCCTCTCTGCGGTTTTACCACCTACTTATTTGAAATTATCATGTTTGCATCACAATAGTTTTTGGGCAAAATATATACTACTTCATACTTATTATTAGTTATTTGTGTTAGGACCTATTCATGGACCAGTAGATATAGGACACAGCATTTATTTCGATTATATTGGAGTTTTGTCGCCATCAGAAATTGGTTGCTATTTAATAAATCCTAGTTTGAATTTATCGTTCTGTGACAAGACAGAAAAACAGAAATGATCCCTCGACCCTCATCACTAAACGGTTAAGAACCACTATTCTATCGTATTATATGGTTCCAGCGTGTCATTTGAGTTGAGTTATTTAGGCCTATGTAATAAAGTCAATGTTAACAGGATGCTATCACCATTAAAATCTAATATAAAAAAACAGGCTTGCGTTTACATATGCTCGTGGGTGGTATGGCATGGACTGAAGGAATCTAATGTTGTCGGGTGTTACCCGTTAGTGGATGTTGCATTTTCGCCGTGGGTTCTGTTGTAGCGGTAGAGAGGCAGGTGGCGGAGCACTACAAGGCCGGCTACCAGGAAGCGGCTGCGGAAGCGGTGCGCTTCTTCGTCGAGGTGCAGGGCTACGGGCCAGGCGATGGACTCTGTGCCCAGCTTTCGACACACTTGCAGAGACACTGCGAGATCATCACTAAAGGTATTTGACCATTACCTAACAAATTTGTTTAAATGCTCTTTTCTGGATGTGGAGGGACAGGAAAACAGAATGCTTCAGATGCGTGTTATCAAAGTCAAAATACTTGTGTAAATTGTTTCGAGCAACGTAGATGCTAAATAGTCTGTGTGAGGTTAAAGGATTAGAAACACCCATCTGAGGCACGTTATAGTTCTTAGATAAATGATTGGTCTCCCTGCGGTCGACCGAAGGGAGATCAATCATTTGAGCGTTATAGATATTTAAGAACAGAATAAAAGACACTAGTTCCATCCATGGCGTTTCTGTCGTGAGTAAGGTTTCTACCTTTACTTTGCCGTCCTGAACCCAACCTTGCCACTGAAAGTGGGCAAGGTGCAAAACCAGCATTTTATTTTCAAAAGTAATAGTGAAATGATTGACATTTAGAATAAATAAGTGGAAATCTCATCTAAACTTTAATTATGGGTATTCCGCGTTTTATTTGTTTGGACACATCAACCGAATGACGAAATGAAATGAGTGAATGAATTTAACTTTTTGTGTGAACAGGGCGGAAAACTTATAAGGTTTGCCACCTTATATTACAAACATATTATGGCCCGACATAACTTTAAACGGTCACCTTGAACTACTAACTAACCTACTCTCTATTTTGTGATGTTAGTGACTAGGGTGTTGCATATTCTGATCTCATTGCCTAACCTTATGGAACACTGCAATTAACTTAACTTCTTCGAAAAGAATAGTGTTACCTAGTTACACAAAAATAATATCCCCATATCTATATATATATATATATAAATAAATTGCTACTCGTTAGTCTCGCTAAAACTCGAGAACGGCTGAGCGGATTTATCTTATCTTCTCTGTCTTGAAATGTTCGTGGAGGTCTAGGAAAGGTTTCAAAGGTGAGAAAATATGGAAAATTGCTAGGAAGATAGTATAAACGTCAATTTATTTTTCCCATATAAACTGTTCTATCTTCTTCCCTGACAAACATTCATTTGACGTTCGTCCCTTTTGATACGGTAGACTCGGGTCCGTCATTTCTTCCAAATTATTTTAACCGGTACGAAGTACGCGTGGTCAACTAGTATATATATATATATATACATGGTGTTTCTTTTAGGGTGTCAAGCCAGTGCGAGCTGATAGCAGAGCATCATAGGTATCAATTTAAGTTTATGTATGTTCTACGATTTTGCGTAGTTATCGAGTTAGAATATTTTTCGTCATTTTTTACGATTCCTATTGTTTGTAGTTTTATAAGTAAAATAATCGCCTTCCTAACTTAACCTCGCTTCGAGCGAGACCAATCATAAAAGTTTAATAATGTTGTGTAAAATATTTGCATGCTATTTTAGGTTGCCGGATGGGCCGAAGTTCAAAATTGCAAGATCTTCAGCGTACCCTATTCAAATGCAAAGAAATGAATTCTATTCTATTCGATTTAGTGAAAAGTAATATGTATGTTTACCTAGGCATGTCGAGTGCCAGGGCTGGGTTACAGGCTACAAAGTAATTGTTGTAAGTTTTCATTGTTTATTATTATCACACTAATTTTGTTTGGTAGGAAAGAATCTGCCGCCGCGCGATAAGCCGCGGTCGCACCCTGGCTCGTCATCGGAGACAGCGTCGTCATCGAGCAGCTCACATGGGTTTAGCATCAAGACGGGTGTGATCGCCTCCGTACCACCGCCTGCGCCGCCCTACCCGGTCGAGTTTGAGCAAGAGCGACAACCGGATCACGCTTACCCTATGGAGTGCGATAGAGGTATGATCTCTACTGCCCTTCCACCAACACCACTACCTATCCTATCCAACAGAGTGTGACAGAGATGTAACGTGAACTCCACATCGAGCAAGCCTACCTCGCGAACTGAGCCAGAGAGACCCCCGGATCATACCTACCAATAGAGTGCGACAGAAGTATGTCGTGTCCTCCACCGCGCCGCGCCTCTTAACTTGCCAGGTGACTAGGGGTGCGAGTGTCAAAGAGGTGTCACTCACTCTCGAACTCTACATACGATATACCTATCATGATCGTAACTGCTTCTGGAACGGTTTATATCAATAATTCTTGTGATCCACGATGTTGTACGCAACTGGGCGTAATTGGGACGATCAATGACCACCGCCCTAGAAACTTCTAAACTCATTCTAAAGTTTGAGTGTTGAAAACTGTCTTTAAATTCATTTCAGATTTAATTTTAGTCCAACTAGAGAGTGTCTAATAGGAAAACTCACTAGCTACGCTAATGTACGCAAATAGGCTGGCAAGGCATAAGTGACTGATTCTGCAATGCTCACTGCTGTTTCAGTTATCTTCGCAGCTAAATTCCACTCAGACGAAGATGAAGTGATCTAAATAAAATATTAACAATTCATTTCAGTATCAATGGGTCCTGTTCCAGTAATGGGAGAGGGCGAAGCTCTACCTGAGCCGGAGCCGCTGCCTCTGGACGGGCGGCGCAGACGTGAGCCCACACTGCGGACCGTTCGGAAGCCCGAGCACGCCGAAGACTTCCTGCACTCCTACAAATTCAAGAATTCCATAGAGAGGCGATTCTCTCGATCGCAAGATAACGAGGTGCGTTGCTTTACAGCTCCTTTTACTCTATTCACGGAAACGACCTTATCTAAGGTACTTAATACTGTACTGACTTAAAGCTAAGCTTTTCTGTCATCGCCGCTCTAATCAGCGCATTGACCGAATTGTCGTGATCTTTACTTCAGCAAATTTTAACCTCCTCCTTTCTCGCCTGACGCATTTTCCATCCTTGTCTTTTGTGATTGAGTTATAAAGAAAGCGTCCCATTAACTCGTTTCCGTGAACAAAGTGTAGATGGAAATCATATTTCGCCTACTTTCTGCTTTAAATGTACTCAATCCGAATTCCAGTAGGGACACTTAGCTATTTGTATCATGGATGACAACAGCATAAATAAATATTTGTTTCCAAGCTACGCTTTGAAATTCCATGGTTGTTTTATGCAAAATACTAATGTACCTTTTAGTAACAAAAAAATATTAATTAATTAATAGAATTTAAAAGATATTAAGACAATATCTTAATGAATCTATCTGAATGAAAATTATTTACATTCCCCTGTTTTTTGTTCTTTATTATATACCTAACCTTTTTAATTTATTGTCCTATTATCTATAATTTTAGTTCCGTTTACCCATTTTTAGTATCCTATAACCCATAAATCTAAAGAGTATGTGTGTCGTGGTCGTAAGCGATAGTATTTGATGGGTAGGCTCACGCGCAGCCGCACGCGCACGCACACACGCACGTGGCGCACAAGGCGTACGGACACAAGCGCCGGCGCGCCGCCAGGCACGTGCCCTCCACCTCCACCTCCGCGTCGGGCTCCACCGAGGACGCGCGCGACACCAGTCCACAGGTACTAGTGTCTGATACACATTACACACACACACACACACACACAAAGCGTACGGACAAACTTTTACAGCTCCTTAATCGTATTGCATCGTCAAATTTTCAATGAAAACTAAGCAAACCTCTACCATTTCATTCACGATTCAAATAAGAATAGGAAAGCCAATGACCTCCATCTGTCAAATGTCGCTTGAAAAGTACGGTTTGCAAAAATATCTTCAAACCCTATTTTAACACTCAGCTAATTCTAGAAAAAAAAAACAAACATTTGTAAACAAACAATAACAAATATTTTTAGACCTTTGGCTATGAATGGTTGATAACCTAAATCGTCAACCAAATGTCACTTCAAATTGCATTCAGAAACTTGATTTAAAACTTTCGTTTACATAAAGGATGCATGTTCGTATGTGACCTAGTAATAGTGATAATTATTCATAACTACTCCGGCGGTAATGCAGAGATGAGCGGAATTGAAAAGCTAAATTCTGTTTAAAGTTTTTTCTCACACAGTCTTAATAAATAAATATTATTAAAAATCGGTTGTTTTTTTTCAATCTTAGTAAATAAATTTTATTAAAAAAATCTGATGTTTTTTCTCACTTAATCTTAGTAAATAAGTTTTATTATATAAAAACTTGTTTTGGCTCACTCTACCTATTTGGTTTGAATTGACAGCTATGAGCTACGTCACAATATAGCGTCCAGTCGGTCCTATTCTTAGTTGAATTGCATGTATAAGAACGAACTGGCTCCTTCCATACAAAATTTGACGATGACGATACGATTACGGAGCTGTCAAAAGTCGTGCTTAGGCCTCACAAGTGCCGCGCAGCTTTTCAACCTCGCCAAAGACTGGGTGAAATAGGAGCTCACTGTTACCCTTCACTAGTTTGAAAGGCACTCGAAGAAAAAGATAATAAATTGGGCACAGACCTTTCTTCCTTGGCCCATATAGTAAGAATTGGGAATTGTCCCAATTCTTACTAGGGTTAAGGCTATACGCAATAAGCCGAGTGCCAATTTTGGATGCTTACTACTGCAGATGCAATGACCAACGACTTTTAACTAGCCTTAAAACGGCTTTTGCCGCCCTTCGCAGCCTGCCGCCCTGGGCCATGGTTCTTTTGCTCCTAGAGTAAATATGACCCAGGGTACAGAAAGATGTTTCCATTGTTCTTTCTTCAATACTCTTGTGAAAGGGGTTCTATCTGTTTTCCAATAATATACATACATTAAATAAACATCTATTTGTTGTGTAAAAAGCAATGTTACATGAAAGTAAATGTTTATTTACAGGATACTTCGAGCGAATCACCGCACCGTCAAGATACATACGAGAAACCGTTGCCGCCGACACAGTACGTTCCAGTGTTTGCGCTCAACGAACTAGGTTTGTATAATTTTCCATAATTTATCGTCATCCCAACCCACAGCCTATTAATCCTTACTGCTGCTGCTGTGGCTATGGATGGAATAAAAGATTAGACCATGACGCAGTACGCGGGCTCTCGGATTGGTGGTTTCTAACCAAGGAGCAAATCTATGATACGGCTGCAGATGCTGCATTCATAATTGTTAGGTATTCGGTTTTTTAGCAGCATGAAACAAATTCTTTTAGTTGTTGCTGTGTATAAGTATTTCAATTTACATCAATATGGTATCAAAGCGTTCATCCAACTTTATTCATAGCAAATACCTAATCATTGTCCACTGTAGCAGTAGGATGAACACGTAATGAAAAATACCGATGACCGCTGGGGAGGCGAGGTTCTTAAATAGCTACCACGTACTTGACGATGACACTAAGCAGGTATGCCCCCCGGCCCAGGGGCGTATTTAGAGTAAAGCCAAAAGTAAGTAAGTAGATTAAATTGATTTAATCTAAGCCTGTCAGGGTTGCAGATCCTTGCTATGCTTAGCAGCGGGCGTCCGTTATACGGCTGATATCATGATGATGATGGAATACTTTAATCATTGAGACATCGAGCTCCCTTTTGTGTTGTGTTACTAACTTGTTAGATTATTATCAATAAATTAGCGGCTACCAGCGACTTCGTCTGCGTGGAAATATTAGTTTCCCATACAAACTTCCAGTCTCCTTTTCACCCTCTTAAAGGATGATTTCTGGTATAAAAACTATTATTAGTCCTTTCCCGGAACTCAAACTATCAGTATACCAAATTTCATCTAGGTACTTCAGTTGAGAGGTTTAAGCGTGAAGTGGTATCGGACAGAAGGACGGATACACACACTTTCGCAATACAATATTAATATGGATGAATGTTCGCAGGTAAATACTACGTGCCGTTAAGCGTGGATTACGCGTGTCTTGCGCGACACGTTGGCCCGTACGATATGCTTGACGCGCGCGCCGTACAGCTGGCCGCGCCCTTGCACCCGGTCACCATCCACGTCAACTTTCAGCCCTGCCTCAACTACCACGTGAAGTGTGAACCGAACGAGCGAGATTGGCGCGCGGTGTGAAAATACAATAAACGAGTGTTTAAAAAAAACTTTAAAAACCTTGACTGACAAAAAGAACGCGTTTTCGAAATAGCTCTTGATTTGACTGTGTACTAGAACCCCTTTAAGGGTCAGGAAAACTAAAAACAAAATCTAATCTCGAGTGTTTTGTTTACGGATTCGTGGAGCTTTTGGTGAGATTTCGTCGAATGTGCGGGTAGACTCTTGTTTTAAATACGTTAACATAAATGACTGACTATGTAATGTGATTGGTGTAGGTTACGTTCATAAGTGTCTAACCAACTAATCAAGTGAAAGTCAGAACTTTATTCTCATGCTGCCTACCTGACAGAACTCAGAAATAAAAGCAGATATAAATAGGAAGAAATACTAAAGATTAGGCTGTAAAAGAACTTGGTATCCTTTGCACTGAAACGCAAAGGATGCGAATTTCAAATTGGTGTCAAAGAATGGGGAAAAAAAGGAAGAAAAGAAAAAATCTCTCTTCAAGCTAGATTATATATTGTATGAAATGAAATGTGACTTGGATGTTTTAATTCTTAATACAATTGTAGTAAAGTAGCGATCTTCTTTGACTAATTAAGGAACCAAAGCGAGAGTTGTACAAAGTAAGATTAAGGGAAAGATAACGTAACGGAAACAAACATGTCGCGACGAAATATTATATAATACTTATAATAAAACGCTTTAATGCATATTATGCTATAAAACGCTATAATATGATTTATAGCGTTATCGTTACTCCGACCACTGACAGCATTCTTGACCTTCCCGTATAACGAGTTTTCCATCTTTTTTTTTATAAGCGATAGTTTGATAAAGAAAGCGTTTCACTAATTCGTTTCCGTGAACCGAGTATTGTTGCCTGGTTGACTGCAGAGTGCGGGAGGTCTAAATTGGGCTGTCTTGCGGCCAAACTATATTAATCAGAAGACGTGGATTTTATAATGAGAGTCTAGTGTTCCAAGTATGGCTGTGATAGTAGAAAGATGTAGTCATGTTTTATATATTGTTATAAATCAGCCATAATGCGTTTATATTATGTTATATACAAATATTATTGTTTAAAGTATCTACGGTTACGTATCATTATTAATGTTTTCTACGTTATGTTTCAAATAGTTGTCAGTTAGAGCACTTATGTGCCGTTGTTAGAAACTGGTAATAAAAGACTGAAGTTTTAGTTTAAAGTTTTATTTACTTTAAAACAGTGTGGTGTGTGTTTGCGTCAAAGATAAAAATTAAATATTTACACTGATTTACACTAATCAAATTGGGGTATAAAAGATACTTTTGTAATTATAGAATCACTATCGAAGCCACTTGGTGGATAAACTTGTAATATCAATGTTAACATTCTAAATGCTATTAAGACAAAGTCAAATAAGTAAGTTGCCCCACAGGTGGCATAGTATTTAAGATAGTAGGCAGGTACAGGTCGCAGCACGTAACTCTAGCGCTGAACAAAACGCGGAGGGGATAGCTGCGTATGGGTACGACAGGAGAGCCAATCGGCGCAACGCACATCCACCCGCGCACCTCGTTTCCCCAAGACATCTTAATTTTTACTTCTGCGCAATAACGGTCAGCGCTAGAGTTTCGTGCCGCGACTTATAATAAGTTTAATAAAAATACCATTATCAGTATGGTCAAATTGGTGCTGGTATTTTCTATTGAATTTAATAAATTACTATTGAGTAGTCAAAATTTGAATGTTTATCCGTAAAAGAATTAGGTAGTAGTTGTATGTATGAAGTATTTGAAATAGAGTCTGTGCGGAAAGAGAATGGGATTTAGATTGGAGGGCGCTGTAGTGCTTTTCTACCGTATTTGTAAGGTTTTACTCCTTTTAGACATGATTAAATACAAAAAACCGCAAGAATTCACAACAACAAACAAATCTGTATCAATACAAAACTTTGACGTTCTACAGATTGCTGGGTTTGATTGCCAAATAAAAATCTTAATGTTAGTTCCGTTTTCGCCACGCCCATTCTCTTTCCACACAGACTCTATACTTAGCATAAGTCAATCATGCATAACATTCGCACAGGCTACTGTGTATTCATAAAAATGTCTAACTGGTAAAAAAAAACTAGTAACATACATACATGGGCTCGTAAGAATTTTAGTGAAAAATAGAAGTGAAATTTTGTTACTTTGAGCAGCAGAAAGTAAATATGGTATTCCATGATTACGTTTAAAGCAGGTTAATAATTAGTTATATATATACCTTTACCCTAATATAATTAATTATATATGTACCTTGTGGTTAAAACATTAGTATTAATTTATTTTATCTCATAAAGATGACTATTCGCAATTAAGTTCGGACCTCCTCTCCAGTGCAGCTGAATTATTTTTAATAATCTTTACTTCATTTTAAGAAGTTTATATGATAATGTGTGATGTAGGTATGTCCTCGAGATGTATAGCTTAAGCCTTAAGGGGTTAATCATACGATTTTTCCACATTATATCTATAGTTAACAGTTTTAGCCGTCCTGTCATGAAAGCTCCATGTTGTAACTTACAATATAGGTAGTTAGTAGTAAATTATCAAAGAAAGGTAGTATGTAATTTAATAGGGTATTTGACAAGTTTTAGAAAACGATCTCACGTTACTGACTAATGTTTATGGAGACCGTAAAAAGTAGATATTCATCATTCTGTTGTGTATTTCAGTAAAAATAACCATTACAAAAACTCCATTTTCTAGTTGCCGCGAAAACGCTTTTTTGGACAATATGGCGTCTTACTAGTTTGTGACGTCACACGACTGTTATTAAAACGTCAAACGGTACAATGTAATGTCACTTTAACCGGAAGTTTACTTGCGTGTGACGTCATTTTAGGCTCCGCCAATCCCAAGCGTTTTGGGTAACGTGACAATAGATAAGAAAACTATTATCTTTTTCGTGGGTTTTTAGTAAAATTATGAATATTTTTTTTATAAAAATAGTAAAGACCCCTGCCAATATTCATTCCAAACACAGATGAACACAATTGGCACTTTATTTTTAATACTGTCAAATACCCTATTATATCTGAAAAGTTAACTGCTGGTTTAAGAATCAAAATGCGCTTCTATTTCATTATATTTTGTTACCAATAAGATCGATTTATTTTACGAGAACCTGTTAATTAGAAAAGAGATTTGCTTATATGTAAGTACTAGGTATTTGTCATGCATGCGAAGAACATCTAAGATACTTTATATTTTGTAAATAAATTGTTAATAAAGTAAATGTTACATATTTTAAATTGTGTTTTATTCCTAGATGTATTTTGTGATTAGCACCAATAACGGTCACTTTCCCTTTATAGCTATGGAAGTTTCAATGTCTCTTTGTAACTAAAGAGACATTGAAACTTGAAAATATCGCTCTTTCTTACTTTTTTATTTGATCTGAGCTTTCTCAACTATGGAATAAAAGGGGTGGTGATGGCGAAAAGCAACCAAAAATCTGAACTTTATAATGCAAAGACCAGCTTTCGAAAAAGATAAGAACTAGATTTTTCCTAATTTATAAACTGCAAAGATATTTTTCAACACTCAAACTTTTAGCTACCCAAAAAATACCTAAAACTATTTGCTAGGTTGTTTTAGATTGCAAAACATAACTAACTCAAATTTGTTAGGGTGCTCATTGCCACCCTTGCCTCCTAGCAACGCCCGTGTATAGCTGGATTAAGAAGATTGGGCCAAGACCCATCACGCACTCCTTGTAGGTATTGGTGGGTGCTAACGCCTGTAGACTAATGTAGCCAGGATGAACAGTTAATGTGCCTTCCAAAGCACGAAGGATCTATCGTATAGCCGACTAGAGTTGTTCAAAGTAGCTATAAAGCAATAGCGTGCTGGAAACTATATGCTACTTTTAAATAGCGCGCTATTATATACGCTATGTTAATAGCGCGCTATTTACTTGAAAGCTTGTGGCGGTCCGTTGCCACGTTAAATCTTGCAGCACGCTAGATGCTAGATATCGTTGAGTTTTATTATGTATTGCGTCACAATCTCGCAGGATCCCGGGTTCGGTCCCTGGTCGGGTCAACTAATACAAATTACTATTTTTATTTCTTTTATTTATTTTCACACGTCTAGATTATTGTTGTACCGCCATTTTTTCCGATTCCCTTGGCACAAAAGCTTTAGCTAACTAATTTTAAATATTCTAAGTAATGTTTTACAATATTTATTTATTTTGATATCGTCTTTTATATATGCTGTTATTAATAGTTTATTTCGTGATCACAAACTCTAATAAAAAATAATGTTAGAAACCACGCAATCTATTTATTGCCCGCGATAATAGTTTTCCTGCTGCGACGCGACGTTGCGAAAATTAATAGTAACGAACCGCTGCTATCAACGCGCACGCGATTACTGGCTGGCCTGCCTGGTAGCGTCGCGTCTAGCGCCTCCCGCTGCCCGCTGCCGCGCGCGGTCAATCAACTCAATATGTGCTATATAGCATTAGCGTCTTGTAGCTTTATTAAATAGCACGCGATACGTGCTTTGGACAAATAGCGCGCTATAATATGGCGCTAGACGCTATATTAACCACCTCTGTAGCCGACCATTGCGAAACATCCACACATAGACCGAACGTGCTAACCACAGGCGGGAAGTCTGTATATTAAAAAGAAAAAAACATTTTTACTAAAAAAAAACTTAGAAGTTTTTATGATTCATGCAAATATTTCTAAAAAGAAGCTACTAATTTGTTTCAATATCAGATTTAATGATTTGATTCAATGAATTAGGTTAGTAACTTCTTTATGTTTAAATCTAAAGAAAATATAACTAGATAAGATTCCACTCGGACCAGGTAGCAGACGGGACTCGAACGGTTCTCGAGTTAGGTTAGGTTTCATTTTGTTTCAGCTTATTAATTTCATATCTATATAAAATTTTTACTGAAGACTTGGCTGTATGGGCATAGTTCCGTTTGCCTGCCCAGAATGGGTGAAGAAAACAAAAAAATCTCTGCTTATATTCCTCCGGTTGGCGCCATTTTCCAAAAAAAATTTTTGCGAGTTTAGTTGTTTGTTGCACAAAATGAGAAATTTCGACGATATTTTATTTGAATTAACACCATCGGAAGTCAGTATAATTGCACAAAATGCTTCGGAGAACATTTTACCGGAAAAGTCAAAAGTCTCTATATATCTACATACTCTGAACTCTCAGCAAAATTAAACCCTTCTACGTTATGGTCGAGGTTTACTTTAGTAAAAAGTATGCTGAAAATAAGGAATAACGTGGATATAAGTGAATACCCAAAACTAAATGCTTTCTTATAACAACTAAATAACAACAATCAGATGGTTTTACAACTAAAAAGTCGAAAATATTAACATCGAATGAAGTGGAAAGGTTTGTGAACGAAGCTCCCGATGAAAGTTAATTAATAAATACTTATATTTTTCTTCAGTATTCAGTTTACGAAATCGCAAAATACAGCCATAATATTATTTTAAAAAATATTAATCAATCCCTTTTTTGTAGGTTGCGCAGATTTTTGGCGTTGTTGGAGCTTACCGCAGAGAGGAGTTAGCCAATATTACTATAAAAGATATTGGAGCCCATGGAAAAATGCTACTAATCAAGATTCCGAATACAAAAAAAAATTGTTGTTGAAGGAGATTTTCTTAGAATAGTGCAAAAATATATGTATCAGCGGTCCCAAAAAGCAAAAACCGACCGTTTTTTTCCAAAATTATCAAAAATGAAAGTGTAGAAGTACAGTGTCAAGCAATCGGGTTAAACAATTTTGGTAATATGCCAAAAGAAATAGCTACGTTTCTACGCTAAGTATTAAACTGGGCACAGCTTCAGGAGGACCTCTGCTACATTATTGGCAGATTCAGGAGCCAATTTTATGTCCTTAAAGCGACTAGGTGGTTGAAAGTCACACAGTTCATTAATTTAGTCTCCTTCACAAGACAATACTGAAGAGAACGTTCGTCATCTACCTTCGTTGATAATGATAATTCATCAGATCCAATTCCTTTAATTAGCAAACGTCATTGTATAACACCTTTGAAAAAATGGGTGCTTGTACTTATGTAGGCGCGTGAGAAGTTATCCTTCTTTGGCATCGTTTAAAATTATTTTTTAATTGCATGCAAATAATTAATTACAATAAATTAATAAAAAGTCTGGAAAAGGACACAGTCAATAAAGTTCAGTTTTAATTTGAAAAAATAAATAAATAATCAAAATATTCAATTAAAATCGCTACTGAATATAATTTATTAGAACATATGTGATATGCACTTGTATGAAACTCAAACACGTATTCCGAATATACAAACTAGAAACATGTGGATAAATATTATAAATATGAATACCTATAACTGTTACTTTATTACAAAAAATAAAGATGTGGTTTTTGGTTCTACTACACCAATGGTCAAGAGATGACGCTGTAGTCTCCTGAATCGCGCTTTGGTTCCGTTGTTCCAGATTAATAAATACTTTTGATAGGCCTTCACAATGCAGTCGTTAGCACCCACTAAATAGAGATTCTATTTCTATTTTGTTGGTAGATTTTCTTAATGTGCGGTAAACACAAAAGTAAGTAAGTTAATATTTTGTGTTACAGTGATGCGCGCGCATCTTAAAATTTCACTCTCATCATTTTTTCATAACGCGCCTAAAGAAGTATAACTTCAAAAATATACATGAACAATCATACGAAATTAACAAAAGTTTGTCTCAAACAGTAAATATGCAACCTAAAACTTCCACAATTAGTATAAAAACTGTACCAATTTCAATGCATATGTGAATTATAACTTTTATAAGAAATAAATGCTTAGTTAGTTGAGTTTATTGTGTTTTTATTATTTTATTAAATTACTTAATTTTTTCGCAACTGTATTTAAAATAGTTGTTCAGTACACGTGCGCAACCGTCATTGCAACTTGTTCCGACTGTTAACCCTCACCTTCGGTTCCGCCTCAGCTCAGGTAGACATTTGTCGGAACTCTTTGCAATGACAGGCTTTCCGCACTCGTAATGAAATATACTATTTTTATTCAAATACTACCTCTGTGAAGTTAGCCCCCCACTTTTTGAATTTTATTATTATCTAGGTTGTTCTGGGTTGTTCTATGTTTGTTCTACATTGTTCCAAAGTATTATTTGAAAAAACTAAAATTTGAAGCTGCCAGACAAGAAAAACCGTTTTTCTATGGTAGCCCCCCATGTTTGGAAATTCAATATTTTTTTAGTTGTTCCAAGTTGTTCTAGTTGTTCCGAACATTGTTCCAAAGTATTATTTGAAAAAACTCAAATTTGAAGCTGCCAGACAAAAAAACTTTTTTATGGTAGCCCCCCATATTGGAAAATTCAATATTTTTTTAGTTGTTCCAAGTTGTTCTAGTTGTTCCGAACATTGTTCCAAAGTATTATTTGAAAATATTCAAATTTGAAGCTGCCAGACAAAAAAAAACGTTTTTATGGTAGCCCCCCATGTTTTGAAATTCAATACTTTTTTAGTTGTTCCAAGTTGTTCTAGTTGTTCCTAACATTGTTCCAAAGTATTATTTGAAAAAACTCAAATTTGAAGCTGTCAGGCAAAAAAAAACCGATTTTGAGATAGCCCCCCATGTTTGGAAATTCGTTATTTTGAAAGTTGTTCCAAGTTGTTCTAGTTGTTCCTAACATTGTTCCAAAGTATTATTTGAAAAAACTCAAATTTGAAGCTGTCAGGCAAAAAAAACCGTTTTTCAGATAGCCCCCCATGTTTGGAAATTCATTATTTTTTTAGTTGTTCCAAGTTTCTTAACATTGTTCCAAGGTATTATTTGAAAAAAATAAAATTTGAAGCTGTAAGACTAAAAAATACTTTTATTTATAAAATAAAATCAATCGTACCTACCAGAGACAATAAATATATCAAAAATCAATTTAAACAATGACAATTGTACAACAACAGTACAACCGTGGGCTATATCGTTCCAATTTCATTTAATCATTTTGAATTAAATTAATAGAAAAGAAAACATTAGAATATAGGGTAAACTCCCTAATTGTTGGCACTTTAAGAGTAGGTAGCATGTCAGACATTAAATTACCATAAAATCACATCTAAATGAGTTAGTACACAACACATGTTACACATGTAACAGTATCAAAGAAAGTAGTTTAATCTTTGTTTTCATAATGGTATAGTCAATGAAGGCAAAAATCAGCTGCAACCTCCGATTTCGTTGAACCTCCATCGATTTTCATGAAAATTGGTAAG